TAATGTTCAGAATTTCTGTTTTTGTTGGATTAATTTTTAAATTTGATAGTTCACCGTATTCCTTCAAGATCTTCATTATATTTGGTAGTGATATTCGGGGGTTTCCCACATATAACAGTAGGTCATCTGCGAAGGCTGCTACTTTATGTTCTATATTTTCTATCTGTATTCCTTTTACTGCACCACTATTCCTTATCATTGATAACAGGGGTTCCAATGTCAAAACATACAGTAGGGGAGACAGTGGACATCCCTGCCTTGTTCCATTGGACATCCCAATGGGTTCCGACCTCTCCCCATTTACCGTAATGATTGCAGTGGGCTCCCTGTATAGTTTACCTATCCACTCGCGCATTCTCTCTCCAATTCCCAACACTTCCAAGTTGTCCATCATAAAGCCCCAGTCCCACTCTATCAAACGCCTTTTCGGCGTCAATTGACAAGAGTACCACCGGGGCTTTCCCTTTTCTACTTTTCTGGGTAAGCATCAACGTTCTTAACCCATTATCTCTACCCTCTCTCCCTGGGACAAAGCCCACCTGATCTCCATGGATCCATCCGGGCATTAGCTCTTTCAACCTGTTAGCTAGAACCTTTGCGTACAACTTAGTATCGGTATTTAGTAATGAAATTGGTCTGTAGCTAGAACACTGGGATAGATCTTTTCCCTCCTTGTGGATGAGAACAACATGAGCCTGAAGGGATTCCCTCCTCACCTCCATCCCTCCTCCCAAGTCATTCATATATTTCTTTAACTTTGGTAACAATACTTCACAGAATTTTTTATAGTACTTAACTGTATAACCATCCGGGCCTGGGCTTTTCCCTCCCCCTGTACTTCTCAATGCTACTTCTATTTCTTCCTGAGAAATTTCTGCCTCCATAGAGTTCAATTGTGTTTCACTGAGCTTTGGCAATCCCGCATTTTTTAGGTATATCCTCCTTTTCTCGTCAATACCCTCTCTAATTTCCTTTGGTGAACCTTGATGGCTGATATTATACAACTTTCTATAAATACTCCGTAAATACTTTGATGATTTCTTTAGTTGAATGGACCATCTCTCCCTTAGGGTTTTTTATCTTTTCTATATAATTCCTGTTTTTCTTTTTATTCAAGGCTCTCATTAAGTACTTTCCTGGTCTATCACCCCATCTATATCTTTCACTTAATACTTTATTAAATACTCTTCTCCTCTCCTCTTCCATCAATCTCTCTAATTCATCTTTTTTATCCCTTAACTTCTGTCTTGTTTCTATTGTTATTTTCTTCTTATGAATCTGCTCTAGATCCAGGATTTCCTTTAATAATCCACTCACCCCTCTCTCTTCTTTCTTTTTTCTTCCTTGCTCCCATCGCTATCAGGATTCCTCTTATATATATACCTTATGGCATTCCCACACTGTAGCTGTCGATACTTCCTCTGTCTCATTCTCCTTAAAATAAACCTTAATCTCTTCCCTGATCTTCTGCACAATATCCTCATCCAAGAGTAGAGCCTCATTCAACCTCCATCCTAAACCTCCCATCCATCTTTTTCCCCATCCCATTTTCATTATGACTGGGGCGTGGTCCGAGAAAGTTCTTGTCTCTATTTCTATTTTAACTATTGTTTCAATAAGTTGGTGATCTATTAGGATATAATCCAATCTCGAGTATATCTCATGTGCATTGGAGAAGAAGGAATAGTCTCTGTCTTTCATATGCATCATTCTCCATGTGTCCACCAGTTGGAACTCGTGGATCGCCCTCTTCAGGGCTCTCAGAGACCTACCCCCTTCTCTCTGCACAAGGGAGGTTGTATCCTTTTGTGGGTCCATACAGAGATTAAAATCTCCTGCTATTATCAAACACCCTTTTTTAAAGTCTATCAATTTTTTTTTAACATACCCTTTAAGTAGATCTCCGGTTTCTTATTGGGGCAATATATATTGGCTAGTGTACATTCAACTCCCTGAAGTTTACCTTTCAAAAACAAGAATCTCCCTTCCGGGTCAGTCATCCTATCTTCTAACTCAAATCTCATATTCTTTGCCAATCCTATTGCCACCCCCCCTTTGCTCTTTTAATTGGAGAATCTGCATAAAACCATATTGGATAGTATTTAGATTTTAATTTCACATTTGATTCTATCTCAAAATGTGTCTCCTGCAAAAATACCACTGACGTTGCCCTGTGATGTAACTCTTTAAACAACTTAAATCTTTTCCCAGGACTATTCAACCCCTTCACATTATATGTTATAAACTGTATTTCTTCCATCCTTCTTGATTTTATCTTTTCTCTCTTCTAGTCCATCTCCTTCTATTAGGCCCAGATATCTTGCAGAACATTAACCCCACACCCTCCCCCCCCCTCCTCCCCACCCCCCCTTCCCCTCCCTCCCAAAACTCCCCCCCGAGGCCTCCTTAGCCTTAGGATCATTATCCACCTCTGATCCTTACCTTGGTGGTTCCACTCCGCCCATGACCGCTCCCCTTCCCCCCCCCTCCCCGAGGTCCCTTTATCTAATAACTCTCTGTTTACTCTTCCAGCTAGTTGCCACTTTCCTTCCTTACTGGTGTATAGATCTCCCTCCTCCACTTCCCAACCCGGTATCTCTAGTCTCTGCAATCCAAATTTATTACAAAAATCTTCCATATCTTCCGGAAATCTTAAAGTTGCCGAGATTCCATCTCTCCAGCCGATCAAGCTCGCTGCTTGTCCCCATCTATATTTCACATTGTGTCTTTTCATCTCTTCTAAGAATAGTTTCAATGTTTTCTTTCTTCTCAAAGTCTCTGCTGTTAAGTCCGCAAAAATTTGGATATTTTTCTCCCCATATGGAATACTTGTTCTTCCTTTAATCTTTTTCCATATCTCCTCTTTATCTCCATAATTGTGGAATTTGACTATTATATCTCTTGGTTTTTCCAGTCTTTTTTCTTGTTTGGTACTTCCCAATCCTATACACTCCATCTAGTTTAAACGTCACCACCTCAGCTTTATCCACTATGGAGATCAAAATTTTGCCTATTAACTCTTTTAAGTCCTCCCCCTGGTTCAACTCGGGACTCCTCTGACTCTTAAATTATTTCTCCTGTCTCTATTTTCTTGTTCATCCATCATAAAAAAAAATCTTTTTTGTTCTTTTCTATTTTCTATTATCCATCTTTCTAATTTTGGGATAGCTTGAGCATGACCCTGAACTTTTTCCTCAGTTTCCTCCATCCTAGTTAGCAGTTGTTCCAAATCCTCCCGAATTATCCCCATCTCTTGCTTTATTGATAATTCCAAGTTTTTAAACATCTCCGTCATTTCCTTTTTATTTGGTATTTGCAGATCCCTTTCAGATTCTCTCAGCCCTGTACCGTCCAGTGGTTGTTGACTATTATATACCGGTCCTGGGGAAAGTCTCGGACTATTATCCAAACTTACTTCCAATTCACTTATTTCACTCACTCCTTGAGATCTTTCTGGGGTCAAATTTCCTTGGGGTATAAACTTCTTAATCGACCCAGTTTGAGGGTTCTTGGACCCACTTCCTTTTGTGTTTTTACCTTTCATGTCTTCAACTCCTCCAAACCTTCAGACCCCCAGGGATCCCCAATTTCCTTCTCTCAATTTAGAATATACAATATCCTAGTGCAAACACAATGAAAGCGTTGCTTAAATCTGGTATACAATAAAGGAAAGTCCAATACGTAAGTCCAGGATATAGAGAGCATATGAAGAGTATATAGGGAGTATATAACAATCCCTGCAATACACACGTTATTATCACTCACCCTCCACACTGAAGTACCTTTCGGAGTACAGTCCTCTCCTTTAATTGTCTATCCTTGGGGGATTCCTTGGGGTCACTTTAAGTCCTTTTCCTTCTTCCTTTATTTTTCTGGGTTGGAGGAAGTATAGAAGGTATGGAAGTTATGGAAGTTTAAGGGACTAGGGTAGAATGTGGCACCGTTCCATCCTACATCTCATGTTGCTCTCTCATCTCCCTTGGACTGCTGACGCCGAAATGCCGGCTGTTTTCTTCTGCTCCCAGAGCTCCTCCACGGCTGCCCACGTGTGTTAGGCTCTACACCGCTACCCTCGTCTCCCGGCAACCCCAGTCCTGCTCCGGAGCTACCGCGAGAGAGACGCCCAGCGCGAGAGGGACTCAACGTCTTCCCTCTGAACCTGCCACCACGACACGCCGTCTCCGAGTCCTCTCCTCTGCCGGGTAAGCCTCCAGTGCTCTCCACTCCAACTAGCTATGTAGCCGGGACCTTACTGGGGAGGTGAACGGGGAAGGGAGCGAGGAGTGCTTACTCCACGCTCTCCCGAGCCGCCATGTTCAGGCTCTACCCTTGACACACATACCAATTTAGATAAGAGCCAATCAATCTCATTTTTTAAGTGTGGGAGGAGACCAGAGTACATGGAGAAAACCCACCTAGGCACAGGGAGAATATGCAAACTCCAGGTAGAGTTATGGTTGGGATTCAAAATTACAAACCTAGCGCTGCCAGGCAGAAGTGCTATTCACTGAGCACTGTGCTTAACCACAATGCTGAAGTGTATGCTGTGATTCTAGGTGACAGTTCAATAATGGGGCTTTTTCCCACTATGCTACATTTTTGTGCATTGAAAACAGATTGCATTAAACAGTGAATTCAAAATGAAATGTAAATGTACCTAAATGCAAGAAAATATATATATATATATATATATATATATATATATATATATATATATATATATATATATATATATATATATATATATATATATCAATCTATCTATCTAAAGAAAGAGGAGAAACTTGACTTTACAACAGGGAAGTGTTTCCCAATGTTACAAACCAAATTTAGAAACGAAATGAATCTATAATGTACTTGGATTCTTAATGCAAATGTTTCCAAACATAACAATCATATTTAAATCGGGGAGTTGCCCATTTAAGGTTTAAAATGACAATAACCAATAGTGTAATTCTGAAGAGAACTGTGACTGCTTGGCAATGAACAGAATAACTTACAGCATTTGTATAGGTTGGTGGAAGTGTTGTCCATGTTGAATTGTATGTAACACAGTAATCCTTTGCGGTTGCAGGATCCCCAATGACAACTGAGCGCAAAATTCCTTTGCTTGCATATATCTACAAAACAAACAAAACTTGGTTTGCATTCAGACTAAACAATATATAGAGTGTGTATACATGATGTTTTGTTGATTGAAGAATAAGCAATTCAAACATTCATCACTGGAGAACAAACTAAAAAGAGAATACAGGACAATCTGAATTAAAGAGTTAGTTCACCTGTAGATAAAAAAAACTGTGCAGCTTTGGCTAAAGTTGGATAATGCCCCTGCTAGAAATGTAGTCCATTTACATACACCCCAAAATCTGACTGAAAAACTCCCAGAGATGACATCCTCCCATCCTGCTTTGTTGCCAAGACACTGCCAGCTGTTACTGCTCACCTCCATCACAGGACAGGAGCAGACTGTCAAACTTCCCGCTCGTGTGGTCCAATACCTCCTTTGTTGCAGCATCGCTGAGCTCAGAGATAGTGCGACAGGTAAGAGGGAGAGCATACTAGAAGGTTCGAATCAGCTGGGAGTGTTTTAGCAACAAGGCAGGACAGGGTGAGGATATCTCTGGGAGTTCTCCAGTCAGGCTTCAGAAGTTACGTAAATGGTTTACTCTTATAGCAAGGGCATTATTTAAAGCCAAAACTTTGGGCAAATAAATAATCTTTTGCGCTGGGACTGTATCTCTACTACAGGGGTTACTTGCTCATTTACATATTGGGGTGGGTGGACAATAAAAAGGAAATATACTCACAAGATCCTCCACTCCTCCTTGAGCCTGGGCTGGTCCCTGCACCTTCCGCACCCCAGTGTTTAGTGGTCTAGGATCCTGATAGACGCGAGGACTCCAAGGGACAGTCCACCACTGGATCGTGGGGGAGCAGAGGATCAGGCAAGAAAACTCGCTTTTCTCCCCTAGAAAAAATGAGCTATTAACCCTTGCAGTGGGGCCACAGCCCCACTGGAAGGGATCTTTTTTTTTCTGCTAGAAGGTGGGCTTAACTTTGGTCAAAACTGCACAATTTGTATCTACAGGCACCCTTTACATGCATAAGCAGTGTTTTGGAAAGGGGTGGGGGTTAATTCTTTAAATCCAGGGTGGATTTGATTTAAATCACGATTTAAATCACTAGTCAGTAAGCCTTGATTTAAATCCTAGTTTTCTACATAAAGACTAATTCTTGCTGGTATAACTTTAATATGCAAGTAGATGAAGATTTTTAGAACAACAACTTTTCATATTAGTTTTTTTATCCCCAGTTTAATAGGTTAATCATTCATATTTGGACATCTTTTCTGTTGTACTTAGGAAGGAGAAAAATAATCATTACCTTAATAATAACAATTTAAATAGATGTATTCATCTGAAACAATAACATTCCAGCATATGGTATTTGCTTAACCACTTGCCTACCAGGCACTTATACCGCCTTATTTACCAGGCCAATTTTCAGCTTTCAGCGCTGCCGCACTTTGATTGACAATTGCGCGATCATGCAACATTGTACCCATATGAAATTTTGATCATTTTTTTTCTCACAAATAGAGCTTTCTTTTGGTGGTATTTAATCGCCACTGGGTGCTTTACTTTTTGTGCTATAAATAAAAAAATTGCAAAAAATTTGAAAAAAAAAAAAAAAAGTTTCTTTGTTTCTATTATAAAATTTTTCAAACAGGTATTTTTTCTCCTTCACTGATGTGCGTTGATGAGGCAGCACTGATGGGCACTGATAGGCGGCACTGATGGGCACTGATAGGCAGCACTAATGAGGTGGTACGGATAGGCGGCACTGATAGACAACACTAATGAGGTGTCACGGATAGGCGGCACTAATAGGTGGCACTGATGATGGGTACTGATAGACGGCACTGACTGGCATCACTGCTGGGCACTGACTGGCGGCACTGACTGGCACAACCCCTGGGCACTGACTGGCAGCACTGCTGGGCAGCACTGGAGGGTGGGCACAGATGGACACAGGTGGGTGGGCACAGGTGGACACAGGTGGGTGGGCACAGGTGGGTGGCACTGCTGGGCACAGGTAGGTGGCACTTCTGGGCACAGGTGTGTGACACTGCAGAGTGGCACAGGTGGGTGCACTGCTGGGCACAGGTGGGTGATCTGCTGGGCACAGGTGGGCGGAGCTAGTGGGCGCACTGCTGGGCACAGGTGGGCGGAACTTGCGGGTGGCACTGCTGGGCACCGATCATCAGGGCACTGATCATCAGTGCCCTGATGATCGGTGCCGATCCCCGCTGTGACAACTGCCGGTTCTCGGCAGTACTTTCCTCACGATCTGACAGCGTGAGGAAAGTGCAGCCGAGAACCGGCACTTGCATTTCCCTCTGATCAGCGTGTCATTGGACACCGCTGATCACGTGGTAAAAGGCCGCTGTGATTGACCTTTTACCACATCACGTGATCAGCTGTGTCCGTAGGACACAGCGATCACGGAGATCGCCGGGTGCGCGCCCCCTGGGGTGCGCAGGAGAGCGCATTCTGGGAGGACGTCATATGACGTCCACTCAGAACTGGCCGGCGCCCGCAGTGCAGCCGTCATTCGGCTATCTGCGGTCGGCTACTAGTTAAACAAACATCCATGTTTGTTAACTAATTTGGTTAAACAAAATATATATATTTTAAGAAACTTAGACTGTCAGCCCCTTCCTCCTCACACTTAGTTTCACTTTCTTCTTGTGCAGATCTATTCCACTCCAAACAATCAGAAAAATATTGTTTCTATTCTATTCACTGAACTTCTTGAAACTTAGCACTGAAGGGGTTGATTCTGTATTCATAGGTTTGTAGAAGTTAGGATTAAGGTCTTTTTCTTAACTCTGTTCATGTTATAACATTTTTTCTGTGAAGAAGAGGCATGTGATCTCCGCTGAGTCAAATTCAGTTTTGAGAACTGCAAAAGTAAACCAAACATCTGTGATAATATCTTGTAGGCAGAGAAACTGCCCAATAATCTTACAAAAACCTCTGGAAGAGCATGACATTGTGAATGGATTCATGGAATTATTTACCAAAAAAATTAAACATATACAGCCTTATTCTACATGATTAAAAAACTAATCTTTATTTCATGATGGAATAACCTTTGGATGGTAATATATTTTCCTCAAAAAGCATTTTATTTAAAAAAATCCGATTTAAATAAAAAAAAAAATCTGTTTTTTTTTAAAAAAAATCATTGATTTTTATCCACCCTGTTTAAATCTAATCTACAAACACTTCCAAAGTATATATTACAGTATAAATATACTCTAATCCTTGACCTCGGATGTATATTTCTGTAAATTGTATCGGACATTAGAGCTTGCTATTTAAAGCCTGGGCACTAGCCCAAATCACCAGAATCAAAACCCTACTGGCACCAGTCATGTGTACTTATGCAAAGCACTGTATAATTCCTAATGCAGTATCCAGATGAATGTGCATTCCTAGAATATCCTGACGGCTTTTAGGAGAGTTCAGAAATGGTACGTTTTACTATTTACACAAAACAAAGGTCTGGAATAATCACCTTTCACACTCCTGGCATCATAATGTAGCCCTGGTGTAAAAATATAGCTGCCCAAACCTTTGATCAGTGGTATATTATGTTAGAAAAATTGCAGCACTATTATTTGCAAGCGAAGTGTAAAAAAAGTAACTGGATCATCTGTCTTGGACTGACAAAATATTCCAAAATTCTGATTGGTCATGTATTCAAATCTTAAAGTGACTGTAAAGCTTGAATTTAAAACAAAAAATAAACATGTCATACTTTTCTGCTCTGTGCAGTGGTTTTGCACAGAGCATCCTGGATCCTCTTCTCAGGTCCCCACCAGCGCTTCTGGTTCTTACCCCTGCTGAGTGCCCCTATAAGAAGCAGTTTCACATGAGGGCACTCGTGCATTCTCAATCTTGAGCTGGGCTGTTTGCGTCTATTCAGACAACCTAGCTTGACCCCGTCCCCTGCTCTCTGCTGACAGGTTCTGACTAACAGCAGCAGGAGCCAATGGCTCCCACTGCTCCCAGCCAAGCTGGTCAGAGCCTGGAGAGAAGAGCTGCAGCAGACATGTACAGCGCTGGAATGACATCGGGCTCAGTGAGTATTTAGGGGGGCTGGGGAGGAAGCCACTATTAAAGGTTTTGTACCTTAATGTAGAGAATGCATTAAGATTAAAAAACAAAACCTTTTACCGTTAGAACCAATTGCCTACAGGGCACTTATATCCCCTTCCTGCCCAGGCCAATTTCCAGCTTTCAGCGCTGTCACACTTTGAATGACAATTGCGCGGTCATGCAACACTGTACCCATATGAAATTTTTATCATTTTTTTGTGTGACAGAGCTTTATTTTGGTGGCATTTAATCACCTTGGGTTTTTTTTTTTTATTTCTTAAACAAACCAAAAACTACTGAAAATTTTGAAAAAAAAAAAAAAGTTTTAGTTTTTGTTATAACATTTTGTAAATAAGTGATTTTTCTCCTTAACTGATGTGCGCTAATGAGGCTGCAGTGATGGGCACTAATGGACACTGATAGGTGGCACTGATGAGGAGGCACTGGTAGGTGGCACTGGTAGGTGGCACTGAAGGCATTGACAGGCATCACTGATGGGCACTGAAAGGCAGCACTCATATGGCACTGATAGGCGACACTGATAGGCGGCACTGATATGCAGCTCAGATGGGCACTGATATGTGGCATTGATGTGCACCGGTAGGCACTGAAATGTGGCACTGATGGGCACTGGCAGGTGGCATGGATGAGCACGGACAGCTAGCACTGATGTGGCTACACTGATCATCAGGGCACACTGATCATCAGTGCTCTGATGATCTGTGTACATGTCCCCTCCGAGGAATGCCGATTACCGGCTCTCCTCTCCTCTCGAGCTGTCAGCGTGACAGCTCGTGAGGAGAGAAATGCCAATAACCAGCATTTCCCTGTTTACATGTGATTGGACACAGTTTATCACATGACCGAGCCAACATCTTCAGCTCTTTCCGTTGATCGGTGATCCGCTGTGTCCGAGGGACACAGCGCTCCCAGAGCCGCGTATGCGCGGT